CCCCAAGGAGGGCTGCTGGGGTTTGACGGTGAAAACCCGGCCTGGAGAGTGTTTGAGGGTCCGAGAAGGGAAAGCGGGGGAGGGATTGCCTGCGGGGCCGCTCTGAGGTAACCGCAAGAATCTCTCCTATCCGTTCGGAGCAAGCGGCTTTCTGCACGGCGCCCAGGTCCCTCGCCAGACGCCCCTCGTCTAACGACGTGCTTCTCACAGCTCCCCGGCACTAGACTTCGTTCCAGGGTCGCTGTCGGGCTTTCTCTTGTCACATGGAGTTTGGCCTGTAGGGACCATTAAACAATGGCCTGTGCTTGGTTTTTCCCCAGCTCGTAACACAGCATTTCCACTCGCACACGCTCGGCTGGCCGGGCGGGCCGCGAAGGCGTGTTTGCGATTGGTGCCTTTCCTAAACACCGAAGGAGTCTGGCTTTGTGGCTATCCACTGGCTGCATCAGACAGCGCTTTGATAAAAGGGCACCGCCCAGAGACTGAACAGCCCTCTCCTTTCTCTTCTAGGTAATGTCTATGCCACAGGTGTTAAGGAGAAAATTCAACAGTTCTCTTCAAATGGCCGGTAAGACTCGTGCTCTCTGCTTGGCTCTGAGGAAATGTCGTAGTTTAGGAGCGGAGCCCTGCAAATCCGCTTCAGACCCGCGGGCATCCGCATGGAGTCGCGGCTCATTGTGGCAGATGTGGATACACATTTTGCATCAGAAACCCTGCATATTTGCAGCTCTCCGCTCTCGATCTGCCGGTGTCCGCATCCGGGGCTGGCGGCGTGGCTATCCGCAGATTGTTTGGGCAGCTGTAGATGTGGGTGCAGATTTTGTACTGAGAATCGCTCTATACCCACGGGTGTCCGCGTCTGGCGGTGTGGCTATCCGTGGGGCCGCAGATACAAAGTCTGTATCCATGCAGGGCTCTGCGGAGGAGGACTCGGTTGTGGGGGGCTGCAAATCACATCTGTCCAGCTTCTGGCCCTGCTTTTCAACCAGGGATCTGGCCAGACACGTGCAAGGAAAGGAGATTTTAGAAATAGGCCTGTGGACTGTGGGAAGGAAGTGGAGTCCAGTGGCCAGAGCGAGGCAAAAGGCTAAAAGCCATCCTGGCCCCTCCCAGCAGAAACGGGACGGAGTGCTCGCCACCCCCCGAAGGAAACCCACCGGCAGCCTTCGCCCCTGGCCTCGCATGCCTGGAGTTTGCCACTCCCCTTGTGGCTTTTTCCTGGGGGTCTTTCCGGTCCCCGGCCCCTCCCCAGTGTCTGGCCCACTCCTCAGCTGCTGGAGGGGTCTTACAGGAGACGGCTCCCTGCCGTCGAGGGAAGGTATGTGGCTACGTGACGGCACGGCCGCTGCCAGCAAGAGCCGCTGGGGAATGATTTTTCCCCTTCTCTCTTATCTTGGCTCCTCCAGCTCCGGGAGGGACTGAAGTGAGCGCCGCGCGGCGTCCAGATAAGCGCTGGACGGGGGAGGAGCGGGGAGGAAAGGGACAGCCACCACTGAGGGCCGAGAGCAGATTTAGCCCCCCCCCTCCCCCCGGCCTCCCCAGTTAAAAGTCAATTACAAGGCACGTTTCCTGAGCAGCGAGCGAGGCCCTTTCTCTTTGCTGGTAACAGAGTCATTTTCTCTTCCCCCGCAAGGGCAGCCAGATAACCCTGGCCCTGCGCCCTGGCCTGCTGATAGCGCCCCAGGGCACTCGGCTGACGTCAGGCAGGAGTCTAATCTCCCCCGGGCCCAGCAGAGCAGCGGAAAGACACTGTATCTCCTTGCCCCTCTCCCCTCAGGTCAGTGGCGGGCCCGGGAAGGGTGCAGATAGGGGAAATTGGAACCAGGCGCCAGCAAGCGGGGGATTATGGAGTGGGCCACAAAGCTGCCTCGTGAAGCCTGGTGTTACCGGGTCCGCAGGGCATTCAGAGAGGGACTTGCTTGGGCTGAGGAAGTCCCAGGCAGTCCTCTCCCGTAGGGCGGGGAGCTCGTGGGAGTTGACGGGGGGAGCCATAGGCCAGGCTGGGCCTTGCTGCAGATAGGACCCCTGGAGCTGGCTTGCAGAGGCAGCCGCGCAGCATCAGAATGGGCCCAGCCTCAGAGGGCCCAGTTCTCTGGGCGTTCCTGGCGCGGGAGCTGATGCTGCCTTGCAGGACCTGCCAAGAGCAGAGCCACGCAAGAAGCAGAGAGCCACCCCCAGCAGGAAGGGGGACTTGCTGGTGACACATCCCCCCTTCCCCGGGATGTGTGATCCTTTCCGCGTAGGAGCTGAGCCCGTGTTTCAGCTGTGCTGTGTTTGCACGCGCCATGTTCCTTCTCTTCCGCGGTCGCAGAGCCCCTCTGGCAGTGAGATCACATGCACTGCAGCGCCTGGGTCAGAACAGCGCTTCCTGAACAGCGGCTCCCTTTTGAACCCTGTCTTAGTTTGATAGAAACGAGGCTGTGTCCCATGTTCCCTGGGAGCTGGCACTTGGAGGACCGCCCAGGAGAGAGTCAAGTGCCGCCCCACTGGTGAGCAGAGCACACTCAGACGGCAGCGTGTGTGTCTACTGGTGGTGCACATATACACATGCCTTGGTGCATGTAACAAAATGTATTCTGCACATGCGTGGAAAAAAAATAGAGGGACCATTGGCTGTCTCCCTGCCCCACTGCAGCACTCAACTAGCTGCTTCCACTCTTGTGTTAACCAGGGGACCAGCTACTTTCTAACTCCAGCATCATTCTCCTGGGTGAGGCAGAGGGGACGTGGTGTGAGGTTACAATGCACACCTTGCCCTGGCGCGGTGAAGGGGGTAGCTGGCTGTGGGATTGTGGCGGGGGAGTGCCCGCAGCCCTGCTTTCGGTGCGCAGCCGTTTCTCTGACCAGCTGCGTTGATTGCCGGGCTCTGCCGTAAGGTGCGGCAGCCTCCCAAGAGCTGCTGCTGAGCCCCGAATCGCGAGAGCAGCTAATGTACTCCCCTTCTGGCCCAGGCCTGAGGGAGGGGCACTGGAGAGCCACTTACTGTGCTGCCCCTCTGCCAGGGCATCGCACCCTGGCTGGGGTGCTGTTATGGCCGGTAGCCGCACCTCACCGGGGGAGAACCGCTCCCACAGCCCTGCTCCAGCACCACCCCGCACGCCAACGCAGCCATGCCCAAGAACCTCGCCGCGGCCCCGGATGGTTCTACCGCGCGCTCTGGTGTCTCTTCGGAGCGGCAGCTTTGACGGGGACGGGGCTAATTGCAGCACAGGCCCAGAGCGGCTGCTATTTCTCTGGCAAGGCCGCTGTATTTCAAGGCTCCCATCCCTCCCCTGCATGCCCTGGGCTGTCTCTTGGCTATGCCGGCCACACTCCTGGGCCGAGACATTATCCAGCCTGGTCCCGCCTAGCTGGGGACCTGGCTGTCATAGTCCCTGTGGTGCTGCATCTCAGCTAGCACAGAGTCGCCTCTTTTCCCGAGCAGGAAAGGGGCCCATCGATGTACAAATCGGGACTCACGAGTCCCCTGCGACGAGCTGCCCCCTGAACAGCCAGGAGGCTAATGGCTGAGTCGGGGCACAGGCGAGAAACGTACTTGCTGAATTCTGACTGGCAATACCAGCTGCAGCTCCGGGAGGGGCCGGCACCTCTGACTGTGGCGCCCGCGCCAGCCCACACGCTCTTGGCCTGCCACATGCTGGCTCGGATTCTCTCCTGGTTTACACGCGTGTACATAGGGTGTGACTCGCCGATCCCACCCCCGTATGGAACCGCAGGGAGCCCGAGGTGACTCGGGAAGGGAGCGATTTCAAAAGATGCATTTCCCAGGCACCCGCGTGTAGCCCTAGAGCCTGCCCCCCGGAGTAAACCGTTTTGCTTTTTCTTTCCATAAAGACGGCGATGAATCCTTTGACCGGAACTCCATGTACCGAGGCTCCCTGACGCAACGGAACCCCAACGGGAAGAACAGGAAAGCCGATCGCATCTTCGCGGTAACCTGCCGGCCTCTGGAGGGCTCCCCTTCTCTGTGCTGGGCAGAGGGGTGTGCGGAGGGGGCGTTCCTACCCTGCTCCTTAGTCCCAGGTGTCTCCCCCCCACACACACACATACACGGGGGGGGCTTGTAAAGATGTACAGAGGGGGGGGGGGGTCAATGTTCCTGTTGATTAGCCACATAGGGTCTGGGCATTGTGCTCCTCCACCCAGAAGTCAGAGCAGACTGTCACACCAAATAATTCACCCCGCTAATGTCGCCCAAGGTGCGCTGGGCCTGCGCGGGAGGCCTGAGACATCAGTAGCACGACGCAAGGGGGCAGTTTAGTCTGGCAGGGGGAGCGCGCCGGTGGCTTCCTCTCCTGCTCTGGAAGGGGCCGCCAGGGTGGCCGTGGTGAGCGGAGATGGCAGGAGAGGCACGATGACGGGAAGCCGCCAGCGTGTGTCCCAGGGCCCAGGAGCTTTGTGGGTTGGACGCTGTAGCCCCGAGGTTTTCAGTTCTGTGTCTCGGTGCTTTGCAGAAGCCTGTGCTGACCCATCGACCCTGAAGACGACGGAGCCTCCTGACATTACACCCCCGACCTGGCCTCAGCTTAGAGCTTCGCCTTTATTTCCTTCAACGCCTTCTCATCCTACCGGTGCCAGGCAGAGCAGAGGAGGCAGGCCGGGGGGCGCGTACGCAGCTGGGACGCCACCTTGCAACCGAGTGCAAGTCGGAACGAGCAACTCGCTGCCCGTTCCTGACAGGATTTCCAGCCCACGGTGTCTGGCAAAGCAGCCCCAGCAGACACCCCGCGCCCCCACGTCTCTTCCGCGAGTCTCCGCTGCTGTGACACGAGGGCCCCTGTGTGCATTTGGCAGCAGCCCTGGCCTGGCCGGGTGCTCTGAGGGGTTGACTCACTGGTATAACTCAGAGTTTTCACGCTGACGTTTGCTTTCCTCTTGCAGAGACGCCAGGGCAGGCCCATAAATATTAACAGGTTTCCAGGGGATTTAAGGAGACCACTCACCCGCTGCCTCAGAGGGGGCTCGTCTGGCTAATACCTGGCCCAGCGCTGTGCAAATGTATTGCAAAATCACTCCCCAGTGGTCCCAGCTCTGCCCATCACTCCTCCTGCCCCCCAATGGGCAGGAGCAACAGAAGGTCCCTAAAAACAGGAGGCCACCAGTGGCCAAACCATGGCCCTGCCCTCGCCCTCCTTCTGAGCCCTTGCCCTGGCATCGCCTCTTCCCCCAGGCTCACCTTGCTCCTCTCCGCCCCCCTCCCTACATTCCTCGAACCAACACTCCTCTCCATGGGTCCAGAGGGAGCCGTCGCACAGGGAGAGAAGTGACAGTGTATTTAAAGTGTCTCTGAGTGTAGCCACCTACTGCCGGTGCCTGGTATTCCAGGTCTGCGGGCCGTCAGACACAGAATGCAGGAAGGTTGGTCACTGCTAAATGCTTGCAAACCATCTGGACAAAGAAGGAGGTGATGGACACCCCAGTATTCAAGTCCTTCCAGCCAGGACCAAAATCTCCAACAGAACCCGGTTCCAAAAAATGTTGGGAGTAGGGGTGCCAGTCCAGTGGTTTTGTTTCAATAAAGCCAAACCATTTCGTTCCCATTACGACTTTCAAATGTTTTTAATACGCAGTTGTTCAAATGTTATTGGGGACTGAAAAAAATCGAAATGGGCTATTTTGACGTTATTAAAATCCTTCATGGAATGGGGAAATTTCATCACAATCGACATGTTTTGCAAATCATTTGGATTTGGTAACAAATGGGGGAGTGGCTTAAAAAAAAAACCCTTTTGATGAAAATGTTAAGCTCCACTCATGACTAAGTAGGAGTAGTTGTATCCTAAACCTAATGTTTTATACTCTTGGGCATGTTTGCAGAAATGACCCAATGTGACTTCTCCACAGCTGTAGCATCTTTTTTAGTATAATTCATCTAGAAGTTACGTCAGGCGTGGTCTGAGGCGGGCTGCAGCAGCTGGCACTCCAGGCGGAATGCAAGAGCGGCGCCCCCGCCTGCACGGCCATCAATGGAGCGATGTCATCATCAGGCGCCCTGTGACATCATCACCGGGCACCCCGTTGAAGGCGGCTCCCTAGGCAATGGCCGAGTTGGCCTATAGTCACAGGCTGCCCGAGTTACATGCCATCTCAAATTCCCTTCATGTCAAGTCACTTCCATTCTCACTAGCGTGAGATCTTGATAAACTTAAAAAAACAACCAGTGGTCTGGTAGCACTTTCTAGACTCACAAAACATGGAGATGGGATCATGAGCTTTTGTGAGCACAGCCCACTTCTTCAGATGACCCAATCTTCAGATTTTGAGTTCTCTCTAAGAGGGCATAGGCCTATGCCATTCCAAGAAATGGAGTCTAGTGAAAATAATTAGCCCTGTTTTAGGAACAACTTCCAGCCACAGACATGTCACCACAGCACCTTGCAAAAAAAATGAAATGACCGTTTGTGGATCTCTCACCGCGGAGCAGACATCAAGCATAACCCCGTGACTTAGATCCTCAGATGGCAAAAGGCAACTTGGGCTATGTCTAGACTGCAGGCTTCTTTCAGAAGAAGCTTTTCTGGAAGAGATCTTCTGAAAAAACTTCTTCCAAAAGAGAGCGTCTACAGTGCAAAAGCACATTGAAAACGCAATGTTTTCGAAAGGTAGCGTCCACACTGAATGGACGCTCTCTCGCATTTAAACTGTGATTGCTATGGATGGGGGGGCCACCCGGGCTTTCTCCTTTTTCCTCTTCTTCCGAAAGAACTCCCTCTTCCCCATCCACACACATGCCTTTTTCCAAAAGAGCTCTTTCAGAAAAGGCTTCTTCCTCGTAGAAAGAGGTTTACCAATGTCGGAAAAACCCTCTGCTCTTTCAATTTTTTTCTCGAAAGAACGCGATTGCAATGTGGACATAAGTGAAGTTTTTTCGGAAACATGGCCATTTTCCCAAAAAAACGCTGCAGTGTGGACATACCCTCGATGGAATGAGGCAGATCTCTACCATCAGGAGTTGGCCCGGTGTTTTTTAAAGCCAAATACAGAACCGCCTTGCCTAGAAACACATCCTCTGCAATCCACAGTTCCACGTTTGGTTCCAGTCCCAGCTTCTCCGCATCTCATGACAACCCTCAATAATGTAAAATAAGGCAGTGTTCAGACTGTAGTATCCCGGGCCATTTTTACCTATCGGCTTTTATCCTCCTCTGTCTCTCTATTGCTGTACATATGTGACGTCATGCAATAAAGCTGAGATTGCGTGAGGAGCTCTGAGCGCCCCATTTCTGTGTCTGCCTTTCTCCCTCTGTGCTTGGCAGAATGGCCTGCCTCTCTGTTGACTTTCCTCACTTCACCGCTCCGTACAATGGCATCAGATTTGCAAAATGATGCAGTGGCTGAAGCAGAGGAGATGCGGGCGGCTGGGGCGACGGTGAGGTGAGAAATGCTTTCATTCACCTGGCATTGATCACAACGCTGCCTTTCCTGCACTCAGTCAGGAGCGACAGGATACTTGTCAGACAAAGACCAGGGTTGTACATTAGCTGGGCCCTGTGCCATTGTGTTTGAAGCACAAAGGAGTTACCCAAACATCCGCGGATCAACAAAGGGGATTGATGCATATAAGAAAATAGGAACAAGAGAATTCTATGTAGCAACCCCCCTCCTGCCCCTCAAAAAAGGTTTTATTTATTGGCAGTTCTTTGCTTCTTTGAAAAGTCGCATCTCTGCAAAGACCAAACCAGTCCCATTCAGGTGCTGGGCTCTACCAGTGTTCCCTGTCAGCTGTGCACTTGGGCGGCCACTCAGGAAAGATCCAAATGCCCCAGCTGATTAGCAGAGCCATCACAGCGTCCTCAGCTGGCAGCATGTGTTTCTGCTGGTGGTGCCCATCCCCATATGCCTCGGTGCACATCAAATTTATTCTGCACCTGGATGGAAAAAATTAGAGGGAACATTGATTAGGGCTCACGTTGGTGAACAGTTCCAACCAGCCAGCTGTAAAGTTGAAGAAACATTAAAGGGTTCCTGGACACGAAAATCAGAAGGGCTGCGGTTTGTTTAATGACGGCTTCACAAACTGAGATGTAACGGTTGACTTGCGTAGCGTAACTCGGTGACTTCCAGGAAAAACATGCTTGCCTCTCCACACAACCGTGTGCTTTCAACTCTGGAATTGCTTCCATATTGTAACACTTCCTCTGCAGTATTCCTGTTGGCCGGAATACGCAGCCCACAATGCTAACTAGAGAACAACCGCCGTGGAGGGAGCCAGAGAGAGGATGCCTCCAAGTTGCAGTGGGGGATTCCGAGCCAAACACTTTGCAACTTTTTAGCTCTTACGCCTGGATGCTGGCCAGGGCCGTATTAACAGCAACCATGCTAGAGGATCCATGGCGGTTATGAAATAAAATTGGAAATTGACACCCTACCCAATGGAGCTTATGCACTTAATGCTGCTTTGCAAATAAGTGATTTTTTGTTGTTCACTGGAAGTTTTTTGGGAAAAAAATCAAAATCAAATGGGGATCCGGTGAGCAGCGGGGACACTAAGGCAGTTCTCCTCCTGTCCTGGCGCTGCATTCTGCACTGCACCCCAGAAGCTGCCAGCAGCTGGCTCGGCTCCCAGGTGATGCCATGGGACGTTGCAGCCATGCAACACCCTCTGAAGTACGCAGAGCGCTGCACAGCCGCGACCATCTGCCCAAGCATTGTAGCCAGCAGGATCGGGGCTTACGTTTGGGATGTCTGACGTTTGGGATGTTTGGCGGGTCGGTAAATTGACCCTGATACAAACGCCTACTATAGAGCACATGTACAAAGTAGGATTGCCACCGTTGTAGCTTAATTGACTTACCAGTGCACTCCTTCTGGAATGAGTCCGCACAATATTCATTCACAGATGAGGGACATTAATGGCGCACGGGGGGGGAAGATTAGCATATTCTTCAGCTATCTGATTTGTCCAAATGAAGAACTTATTAGAACCCTGAGATAAAATAACCACCCTCGTGAGTCATGAAAATCCCTTCCTGGATTTGATAAAAATTAACATAATGGATTATGGGGGGGGGGGGGGGCTGACGTTAAAACGCGCTGGCTTTGTCCAGGGCTGGATTTGTCTGTGACATCAGCACTTAGGCAAGGCATAAAACAAGCAAACAGGGGCTCTTTGGCTCAGAGTCCACTCATTGGAGGAAGAAAGCGGCATCACACTCTGGGAGTCCTGGTCGATACACAGTAAGTACTTTATCAGGTCCGTGTCCCATCCACGCACACACGGCTGAGGCAAAGACACCCTGTTGGAAGCAGAAGAAGAGCAAAATAAGCCAGAGGTAAACTGGAAGGGGTTTGAATTGTAGCTTTAGTGAATTCACTAGGGTGGGTTTTCTACCAAGTTTTTGTGTGATATGTTCTCTCGGGGATGCTGTTAAGTGTTTTCATGCCATGATCCTTGTGTGGTGTGGAAACCCGCTTGCTAGCATGTTTCAAGTTTTTAGTGTGCGTGTGTGTGTGTGTGTGTTTGTTTCTTCACATGAACTTTTGCAAACTATACATGTGTGTCAGCAGTGTTTTAAACTTCAGCAAAAAGTACTTTCCGCTCCAGCACACCTGATGAAGTGACTTTTACCCACGAAAGTGCGTGATACTATATATATTTTTGTTGGTCTCTAAGGTGCCACAGGACTCCTCGTTGTTTCCCAAAAGTGTGCAATGAAAGGCAAGCATCCCTCTGAAATCTGAGTGTTTGTGCTTAATTACAAATGGCTTCTAATTCGGTTTTCCCTTTACTGGGATATAGCTGCTACTACAAAGTTGCTTTCTGCAGCAAAAATGGGTATTTTATGCCAATTCAGGTTATAGCATTAAAAGTTTCCAAATTCCTGCAATGTCAAACTGGCTTTGTATGAATTTCCAGCCGAAGTTAGGGACTGCAGGAACAATACCTCTCAGCCCTTGTCGGTTTCATAGGTTTCAAAACTCCCCCCTCACTTGCGGAAGTATTGTTCTGGCCATGTTACAGACAGGAAAGGAAGGACTGCAGAGAGTAAGGGACTGACAAGGGTCACACACAGGCTCGGTGATCCAATAACAGAATCCACCCAGCTACGTGTTCTGCTTGCCTTCTCCATGCCAGTGGGTTCATTGGGCCAGACCTCGGATCTCCTACGTCTTTCTCTATATTTTTCCAAACATTGCTTCATTGCACGACAGCATGCTGTCCGTACGAACCTGACTCGCCTGCCTCCTTGACCTCAGCCTGAGTCTCCTTTCTATTAACACAGCTATGAAAAGGCTTCCAAAATGCCCTACCATGACGGGGAAAGAATTAATAAGGTATTAAGACTCTCCACTGAGAGGGTGGCTACAATGAACACTTAAACTCGCTTTGACTCCTCACACAGCCAGATTAGCGGGCCATTGATTGCCTGGGATGGAGACAAATGTCTATTTCTGAACCACTTCAGTGTTTTAAGGGGATCAGTAACTTAGACAGAAAGTACCAGGCAACAGAAGAAATAAACCAGGAAGTTTTTCAAAGCAATTCTTTTCTTCCAATGCCCTATTGGCAATCACCACGGACCCTACAAAAAGGAATAGCAAGCAGAGCCAGTGGAAAATGCTTTTTATACAGTGTTTTTCCTTAGAATAGGCTGATTTGTCAAAAACACTATTGTGCAAAAGGGTCAGTTTTGACTCATTTGATTTTTTTTGAACATTTTCAAAATGTTTCTTTTTGACATTTTTTTAAAAAATAAGTTCTGATTAATAACCAACTTTTCATTTCAAAATGTAAACTCGCTACAGTTTTAAAAAAATAAGAGTCAAAACTGAAACAAAATATTTGGATAGGATCAAAGTGAAGCAATTTGATGGTCAAAATTGAACCTTTCTGTATTGGTTTTTCTTCAATGTTTCAGTTCAGGAAAGGTTTGAACTTTTGACTTCTCATCCTGAGTCGGGATAGGAAATCTTTTTAAAATATTGAAATACTTTTATGGCACGTGGAAAACATTTGGTGCCCACTTCCAATAACCGTGGCCAGAAGGGCAAAAATTCACCCCCTGCTCCTAGAGAGGAAGGCAGAAAAATAAACAGAGGGGGTGAGATGGGGCATTTGCCCCACACTGGCCGTACCAGGGTTAGAACCAGTCTAGGGAGGCTGAGCGGGAAGCAGCAGATAATTAAAGGCCAGCTGGGTCTGTATCAATAAGGGCTCCTGCGAGGGAGGGAAGACACTCACCCTTGTTCCAGCTGAGGCAGATACAGCCCATTAGGGCCCAGCCGAGGGCTGTATCAATAAGGGCTCCTGAGAGCGGAAGACTCACTTGCTCTTGCTCCAGGTGTGGAGCAGGAGGGGCCTGGCTGCTAGGGAAGCCAAAGGCTTCCTGAGCTAGAGCAGGGCTGGCAAAAGGCAGGCAGGGCTGGGGAGCTCTGGGCTGACCTCATGTCTAGGCTGGAGGGCCTGAAGTAAGGCCTGAGGGTCCTAGAGCTGCAAGAAGGCAGCAGCCCCCGCCCCCCCCCCATGATCTGTGGCCATTTCAGATGGCAGTTGGCCCTGGGGCAGGGGCTAGATGACAACTGGCAGTAGGGTCACTGAGGCAAGGTGGGCATAGAGGATGGGGGTCCCCAGAGGGGGTGGAGGCCCTGCAGCAGGGCAGTACCCTGAGGGAAGGGTGCCACAGTCTGGGAGGGATGCGGGTCCTGGGTAAGGAGGCAGAACCATTAAATGCACAAACAGGTGAGACACCAGCCTGAAGGGGGCGCTCTGGCGCTGCATTGAGCTAATTCCCACGTGACCAGCAGGAGGCGCTGTGGTGATGAGCCACACCGTGGTACGGGGTGGAGGGGGGAGGAGTGCAGGAGTATTTTCTTAGTGGTTACTCCTTTTGATGCTGAGCTTTTAAAATGGCTGAGGAAAAAGAGTTAATGTTGTGGGAACGGTGCGTGGCACTCAATTGTTACATCTGTGCTGGCACTATTCCTTGGTAACGCCCCTTGTGTGTGCTTCGTGAGCGTCCCAGGAACGGGTGGGCGGGGTTCTGTGGCCTGCCACGTACAGGAGGTCCGACAAGACGATCACGCCGGTCCCGTCCGACCTTAAAACCTATGGCTACCTCTACGTTGTGCTCTCTTGTGCAAGCACATATGCAAATGGGGCGCAGTGATGAATAGCGCTGTGCCTCATTTGCATACTTAATGAGATGCCATTTTGTGCAAAAAGGAGCAGTCTACCCCGCTCCTTCTTGCAGAAAAACCCCTCTTGTGCAAGAGCTGGTCTGCTGCTTATTTTTGGGCAGAACGGCGATGAATATCGCCGCGCCTCCTTTGCACGTGTTCTTGCACAAGAGAGTGCACTGTAGATGTAGCCTATGAGTTTCAGGGAACACACTGGGAACTGGCACCTTGGCAGAAGGCCCACACAGAACACGGAAGGGACGTGTGCCCAACTCCTTCCAAAAAGCACGACTTGCTGGTTAACAAAGGCTTCGTGGCTAATTCAGGGCACTGAATTGTGCTTTGGGAATGCAAAGACGTAAGCGGAATACAGGGCCTCGAAACAATGACGAATTCTGAGGCAAAACAGAGGTCGGTTTTACAAGCTTGGCAGATTCTTTAGACCCCTGAGCACCTTCCCTCGCTATTCCCCATACTAAGTGTGGGGCAGCTTGAATGTAATGACGAAGTGATGTCCTCCAAGCCAGGCCTGGAAAGTAGGTCACCACTGTATCCTGCTGTCTCTGACGTCAGCCTTGTCCTGGCATTGCAAGAGGAGGAGATGGGGCGTGGGGGGAGGGAAGACGGGATCCGTGGTGCTGCGTGCCAGTAGGGGCAAGAGGGGGAGCATGGGAGAAGTGGGCAAACAGGCCGACAAGGCAGAGTACACGGTGATCCTAGCCATTGGCCGGGAGGGGGATGGGCTGGCTGTCAGGGAGGCCAGAAAAGGAGGCGGCAGGATCAAGGCCGGAGATGACGAGGGCTCGGAAGAGAGTTTTGGAGCCTTCACCATATGCAGCTTTCGGTGCAGGGCGTAGGCGTTGCCGTCCTTAGCTGCCCCACAGCATTGGCGCGGCTCAAGCGCCCCCTACTGGCCAGGGGCGCCTCTGTCCTGCCTTGCCTCTAGCGGTCTCCTCCTTATGGGCCTCTTACACATGCCAGGGAGTCTTGGTCGTGGCTTACAGCTCCCCCGGCTGGAGCTGGTTTACAGCTAAAGGCAGTCCGAGTCCTTCATCACAAAGGGAAGCCAATACAAAGTCCGAGCCCATAAGCTGTACCTGAAGCTGCCAGTTCTTAGCCCTCCAGCTCCCTGGCTTGCCCTTCCTCCCTCTCAGCCAGCCCCACACCAGCCATGTCTGGCGGCTGCTTCTATTAAAACACCTGCATCCACCCAGGTGAGGTGCCTCTCCTCTTCAGAGCTGGCTAGAACCTCGGCAAGCCGGCCTGTTACATGCCACAACAGAGGCACTTGCGTCTGCACCTGTGCGTTCACCCGGATACAGTCAGGTGTTGTGTGTAGTTACAGCTCCAAAAGCCAACTGCTCCCTGCCACTGTTGCCAACTCAAGATTTTTTTTTTATCATGGGTCTTGTAGTATTTCATTTTTTTCTCTTTAAGCCCCAGTTTGCACGACAGTGCTTGGCTTTCCTCAAAAATAGATTTTTTCCCCCTACTGGCTGAGTAGAAAAGCTTGAGAATGGCACCCCAGGACACGGAAACAGCTCAGATACCAGCCAGCAAATGAAAAGAAATCTCTTCAAATTGCATGATTTTTCAGGGGCCCTGACGCATGACTTTTGAATGACTATGGTGTGGTTGGCAACTCCGATCCTGCAGCCATCCCTGCTAGCTCTGGTTCAAACACTTTCAAGGGAAATGTTTTTCCATTGGAAAATGCAGTTTTGTCAAAGTCTGGCTGTTTTGCAGGAATGTGTTGATTCTGACTATTTTGACGTGGAAAAAGCCGAGTGGCTAAACATCGAATTTTTTTAAATAAAAACATCTGATTTTTTTTTTTAATTTAAATTGGATGTTTTAATTTGATTTTAAAAATCATCGATAAAATACTAAATTTCTCATTTAAAAATAACAGTTACAATTACATCTCATCACAAACATGCTACATATACACTCACAATCTGATAGGCTGGGCAGACTAGAGCCATTAATTCCTTTCTAGCTACTGACCTTTTCTTCTTGACAGTTCTTGCCACAGAAAAACTGTCCTGGCTTCTAGGCATACGAGAGACCCTCTCTGAGAATATTTTGAAGAAATTCGTTCCCTGAGTGAAAATGTGTCGCTAGGTAGATATGGCTGAGTGGATGAATGGTCAGTAACTTAAATCATTCACTTTGCAGTGCATCGTTCTGCAAGACTGTGCCTTTGAGTATGAGGGTGAGTTGGTAAATTCCCAAGCTGTTTGCCCTGTTGGATGTTGTTAGAACAACACACACACACACACACACACACAAAAACGTAGCTAATCCTTATGGCTTGTTTAATTAGTTAACTAGGTTTAGAATCTAGCACCCAAGTACACCGCACAGAAAGCTGCAGTAAGAGAAATCTAGAGTTGCCTGTTGTCACTGGGTGTCATTTTCTTATTTTATATTACCTAGCAAATCTTTCCTATTTTGGAACATCGTGGCCACAGACCCTAATGGTGATGCCATCAGTCTGGTCTTTGGTTTACTTCAGCATGAGTCAGCTTTCCAAAGGGCGCCCCATTCTATATTGGTTTTCACGCAAAACAGAAGTGCCAGTGAATTCAATGGGGCTTACTCCAAAATTAAGTGCCCACTTAATTGTGTGTGTGTGTGTGTGTGTGTGTGATTTGAATCATGATTTCATAGAATCATAGAATACTAGGACTGGAAGAGACCTCGAGAGGTCATCGAGTCCAGTCCCCTGCCCTCGTGGCAGGACCAAATACTGTCTAGACGATCCCCCATAGACATTTATCTAACCTACTCTTCAATATCTCCAGAGATGGGGATTCCACAACCTCCCTGGGCAATTTATTCCAGTGTTTGACCACCCTCACAGTTAGGAACTTTTTCCTAATGCCCAACCTACACCTCCCTTGCTGCAGCTTAAGCCCATTGCTTCTTGTTCTATCCTCAGAGGCCAAGATGAACAAGTTTTCTCCCTCTTCCTTATAATACCCTTTTAGATACCAGAAAACTGCTATCATATCCCCCTCAATCTTCTTTTTTCTAAACTAAACAAACCCAATTCTTTCAGCCTTCCTTCATAGGTCATGTTCTCTAGAACATAGGTCATGTTCTGATTTAAGTCACCTTCATTTAAATCCAATCCACCCTGAATGAATTATTTGGACTTTCTTGTTTCTCTTTGATACTGTTGAAGTGCTTCATTTCGAGAGAGTCAAAACAACAGGTTTTTATCTCAGTTTGATTCTTGTAGTTTTGACGTGCAATATTACCCCATTCGTGTTAATATATTGGTATTTAATATCGGTGGTTTACGAGTGTATATTACAACGTTTGGACATGATTGAAACGAAGCTTTTTGATAGCTCCAATTTTGTAAAATGCAGACATTTTATGTTGCAGGAGGTTTCAACATGTCAGCTTTTCGGTCCAACATGGGACAAAAAGCCAGTTTCCGAACGTTGGCATTTCCCATGCCAACCACCACCACCCTCTCCCCCATTTCTCAGGAGTAGCTGTCATTCCCATTGCTCAGTGGGTCTCTCTCAGTGGGATTCACTCACACCAGCCCCCCCGCTCCCCAGATGACCGTCTGATTGACTCTCCGGGTCTCTTTTCTGCAGGCTGCGTCGCCCTGTGCTAAATTCCGGCATCGGCCACAGCCCTGGGAGAGCCGAAGGGAATGAAACTGCTGGCTGCCTGCTTGGTGTCCCTGCTGCTCGTCTGTCTGGCCCTGCCCGGAGCCGAAGGCCGAATCCACGAGCGATCCATGGAAATCAGGAGTAAGCTGTTGTCGCTACAGCAGCCAGGCCAGGTCCTCGCTGGGGCTGCCTGGCACCCCCGCAAAAGGCTGCACAGTCCCTCCCTCTGTTATCACAACCTTCCCCCTGCTAATGGGACGCAGGTCCGTGATGGATAGTATCCAGGGCTGGCGTGGCAGTAGCAGTATTGAACACAGAACCTCCCCTCTTCCTCTCCCTTGGTAGCCAGGGCCATGGGGCGGGGAGCTGGCTGCTGTGATACCAGTCTGCCTGGCACCCCCGCAAAAGGCTGCACAGTCCCTCCCTCTGTTATCACAACCTTCCCCCTGCTAATGGGACGCAGGTCCGTGATGGATAGTATCCAGGGCTGGCGTGGCAGTAGCAGTATTGAACACAGAACCTCCCCTCTTCCTCTCCCTTGGTAGCCAGGGCCATGGGGCGGGGAGCTGGCTGCTGTGATACCAGTCTCCAAAGCATCCACGCCATAGAAGGAGCCAGGCCTTCACCAGCCCGGCTGCTGCGAGGTCCAGGAGCAGGGCTGGGTGCCCATACTCAAGCCACGTTGGCCATGCCAGACATGGCTCTGCCGCCGCCTCCCCGGACCTCCCCTGCAGCTGGT